CGGTCGTAGTGGCACGTGAGCACGTCGCCGTCAGCAAAGCAAGCTGCCATCTCGTCGATCCCGCATGTCTGGGAGGGCCGCAGCAGCTTGCAGAAGCGGCCCGTCGTGTCGCCGTTGGCGTTGAAGGCGCCGGCCTTGCAATAGCCAACCCACAAGTCTGTGTTCTCGTCCGAGTCTTGGCCCTGCGCGTCGATGCGGACGCTAAAGACGTCAGCTGGCGTGCCGGCCATGACACAGTTCCACGAGTCGGACATGATCTTCTTGGTCGTCATCGTCTGCTTGTCGTTCGAGACCGACGTCGTCATGCTGCACTTGAGAACGCTCCAGCGCAGGTCGTCCACGCGCGGCTTCTTGGTCATGGGCGAAGCGCTTGCAAGGCTGCTGTGCGCACGCTTGCCCGACGACGATGTTGCAGTCGTCGGGCGCTGGGTGGCCGCGACGTCTGGCGAGCTGGTTGCGCTGCTGGCTGTTGTCGTAGGCTCCGTGTCCACAGTCGCCTTCGGCGAGCGCGGTGCATCGTCCGCGAGGCTCGGCTTGGCGGCGGCGGTGCAGTCGTCGCCCTTGTCCCCGGTCATGGTGTGGCAGTGACAGTGGTGGTGCCAAAATGGTAAACGCGGCTGGATTGGTCCAAAAAGAGAAAAATATGGCCAATCACAAGCGACAATAAAGGCAACGGGTCGATCTGCCACGTCACATGGTCACACGACCCATCGACTCAAGGCCCAAGGAAGAGCAACTCGACCGAGGTACCTACCCGGGGCCCCATCCTTGGTCCTGGAGGAGGATAGAGTATATGTACATGGCTTGCGCTAGTGCTGGCTCCTATTGTTTCGTCAACCGCCTCTGAAGACAACAAGCCGCAGGCGCGCAGGATGTTGTATGTTGCGAGCATCGGGCGATGCCACAGGCAACTTGGTTGGGCTGTCTTGAGCAAGTAGTGGATGTAGGCACCAAGCGAAATCGTTGCCCGCGCTGGCGCCTGCTATGCCACGTGCTGCGCCTCCGGCCCTGCCGACGTCGCCGCCTCGGTCGCTGGTGTCTCGGGATGACCTCAACAACGGCGTCGCTTTGCTGCCGATCGAAAAAGCCTGGAAGGCTTTTACGGAGCGTGTCGTCATGAACTATTCCGCGGCCGCAAGCGACTACGAAGAGCAAGATGCGCCCCCGCGTAGCCACGGCCCGGTGAGCGAATGAAGAAGAAGTTTACTAGTCTCAACGTATGCAAAGTCTTAATAAAACAAAGGTAACGCGAAACACGTTCCTATATCCACAGGCACTGTATATTGCTGGTAGCGCTCTACATCCTTAAGCATTGGGCAAAAAGGGTGTATGTTGCAGCGATGCCTACTTACCAGTACATCACGGCGAGTTGCTCGGTTGATCGGTGGGCTGGCGACCAGCGACAGCCACCGCTGCGTCGACATACCTCAACTGGTGATACGGTTTATGGAGCGGCGGAATACTCATACAAGCACGTGCAGTCATACAACGACAGAGCGAGGGCGTCATTGACGCGCCGACAGAAGAGACAACGGGTACTAGGAGGACCGTTGTGCGCTGTACGAAGCATCGTCAATGACCGATGCTTCTGGACCGTACGCGCGTCCTCTTTGCTACGTTTGTGTAGTCACGTCTGCAAAGTACCCCACTTGCTCGTCAATTGCTCGATCAAGGACGAGCTGTAACGTGCTGGCGTGGCTTGGCGCTTGGACCCTAACCCTAGCTCGATGACTCCCCGGTGCTCGACAGCGTCGGGAACGCTACGGCACACAACCCCCAACGGGAAATGGTTTAACAATGCAAAATCGAGTGGTTGAGCCTCTGACAAACTACAGACTCCAATGCCCAATATGGTCGACAACGCCTTACGCGATCTATGTACGCGCACGTCAAGCACAACGTTAGAGATAATCTGAGGGAATCCTACCTCGTTGCTGTTTGTACCGCATTCGGATATCGTCGGCAGACCCACAGCGCTGGTTGCTGCCTTCTTGTTCATAAGGACGGTCGTCGGCGCGTCGTCGCCGTCGTTGCGGCGCAGCAAGAGCTCCTTGACGATGGCCGCCGCTGTCGGGCGCTCCGTCGGATCGAACGCCAGACACTTGTCCGCGAGGTCCTGGAGCCAGCGCGGGCACGTCGGGCTCATATTCGGACGCAGCAGCCCAGTGCGGACCTTGGCTTCAATGCTGTTGCGATCAACGAGATCCGAGTACGGCTCACAGAGCGTATCGAGCTCGGTCAAGACGACGCCAAACGAGTAAATGTCGGCGGCCGTCGTGTACACGCGGCCTTGCCCTTCAAGATCTGGCACCCGGAGCACCTCGGGCGCCATCCAAAACTTGGTGCCGACGTTGGACGTAAAGGTATCACCATCGAGCGTCCGCGCTGAGCCAAGGTCACCGAGGCGGACGTAGTACGTTTTCGAAAGAAAGATGTTGAGGCTCTTGACGTCGCGGTGGACCACGTTGCAACGATGGAGATCGGCCAGCGCCAGCGCCAACACCAGCGCGACCTCGATCGTCGAGAGCTCCATCTCCACGGGCACCCCAAATTGCTTGAGCTGGAGGTAGTTGTGCAAATCTCCAAGCTCCATGTACTCCATGACCATCGTCGGGCTGTACAAAAGAGTCCGCGGCCGGACAACGTGCGGCTTTTGTGAGCCATTGTCGAGGACCGCGAGCAGCGGCTGGAGGTACGGCGACGTGCACCTACATCGAGGATGTCAGGCTATGTACACTCTCAATTCGGCGCGTACGTGCGCATCGTGTCGACTTCTTGCATAAAGCTCTTGACCAGGCGCGGGTTGGGGAGCTTGGGCCCTTTCATGACCACGGCCTTGTCGCCGTACGAGCCCAGATTGACTGTGACACCGGTGCCACCAAAGATTTCCCGCTCGACGACGAGCTCGGTGGCGATGGCCTAGCACAGTGATAGCACATTTGATATACAATATCTAGGTAATATGGTACCGCAGTTGGCTCTGGGTACAGATGAGGGTAGAGCACTTGTGCGACAGCGTCGTTGGCTTGCTTGATCGCAAGTGCCAGAAGCGTCCACCCGTGTTGCTCCTACAAGCCTCATATTGCAACTCGACGACTCCTGTCGAGTCGCACCGGTCGCATCGTCGCCGGGTCGGCGCCCATCGCCAAGAGGCACTGCACAGCGTCGGCGTGGCCGGCCAAGACGGCTTGCACCAACGTCTGGTTCATGGCGTCCTACACAGACGATCATCGGCACTGGTCCAACCGCTAGGACTACACACCGAACCGGCGCCGTCCAAGGCGGTACGAAAGATGGCGAGCAGCGCATCTCGGCGGCTGGTGTCCTCGTCAGTCGCAGGGGCGGCCTCCTATTGTGTGCAGTGTAAGTTGACCATGCACGCACCGCTGGCGCACCGGATAGGGATCCACGACGCTCGGTGGCAGGTGCGGAAGCAACATCTCGGCGACCTCGGTGTGGCCCTTGTCCATGGCCTCGGCGTAGCTCCAGCGGACAGAAGACGCCAGTGCTTCGAGCGACAGCGCCTGCACAAGCACATGGGCACTCGCTACATGACCTTGGCGAGCAGACAAGAGCAGTGGCGACGTCCCGTTCTACAAGCCGCGGTCAACAACGGCTACAGGCGGAACACAGCACCGCATCATGGACAACGATCGTCGCTCCTGCGCGCACGAGTCGGTCGACGACACTAGCATGGTCTCTTGCCACAGCCACGTGCAGCGCCGTGCGGCCATTCTAAGTATTAGAATAACAAATTGCATCTAAAATCACTAACTTGGAGAGAATCAACGCACCGCGTCTGTTGTGTTGACGCCGACGCCCTTTCTCAGATACACATCGACACGGTCGGCGTCACCACTCTGAACGGCGTCCAAGAAGCGGAGGGTCTCGGCGGCTTCGGCATCCTTGAAGGCTTGAACAATGGCGTCGCCGCGCTGCTTGTCCGTAGCGATCTGGAGCGGCGTCTCGCCCGCCTACGCATGACACCGCCGCGTCAGATCCCGAGCCCTTGCTCTTGGACGACGCATCTACCGTCGTTTTGGCAAACATGTTGAGCGTGGTCGAGAGTAGCATCTTGACCATGGCGAGGCCTCCTGTCGCCGCAGCCTCGTGGAGCAGCGTCCACCCGCTCTATGACACGAGGTGAGGCCTTCTCTGCGCCGCAGGAGCAACGAAGGGGACTACATTGGTGGTGGAGTCCAGTGACGTTCCGGATTGAATCAAAAGCGAGACAAGGGGCGCGTGGGCGCACTTGATGGCGACGGAAAGGGGGGTGCAGCCGCCCTAAACCGCAACGAGCTGGTCGAGATACCGAGTGTGAAGGAACGGTCGTACGCTGTTGGTCCAACTGAGGCTTTTGACAGGCGCATGCTGGACCAGCTTTTCCACAATGAACATATGTCCCTTCGCCGCTGCGAGATGCAGCGGCAAATTGCCGCTCTAGATGCAGGTTTGAAGGGTCGTGACGTGAGCTGCCGTGGGCTACCTGGTCGCTGCGACAAGAGAGGGACGGGTCCGTTGCCAAAAGCAGCGTGACGATGTCGTCGTGACCGTTGGCAGCAGCCACGTGCAGTGCGGTCGCTCCGTCCTAGAGTTGCGGAGGAGGGGTCGTGGAATCATTTTTATTTATGCAAGGGAGATCCTACCTCGTTGACGGTGGACGGACGAGCACCAGCGCGAAGAAGCACTTCGAGATTGCCAGCGTTGTTGGTCGACGCGGCTTGGAGCAGTAGCAGTCCAAAATGGTACATTTGAACAGTCCAGCCCTAAGCAGAGTGCATCGCCTGCGATCTCAACGGAGGAGGCAGTTGGATAGTACCTCTTCGCCCATCAAGGTCCCTCTGGCGTTGGCTTGGACAAGGGCAACGACTGCAGCTATGTTGTTCTTGGCGATCGCACGCGTAAGCGCGGTTTGCTCTTCCTACAACAGTATGTGATGTGGAATATCGTATGTCTTCAATGAAGAAGTATACCTTGTCGGTGGCGTTGACGTCGAGGCTCGGCTTGGACAGGAGGGTTTGTAGGAGCGCCATGTCCCCCGTGTCGACCACCAACTGCAGCAGTGGGACGAAGTTCTACAGCCATTGGCTTGGTAGTACGTAGCTCGCGATGGAGTCGACGTACGCCATCCCGCAGATTCACGTCAACCGTGGTTGACTTGATGAGGGTGATGGCGTCCGAGAAGCATCTTTCGTGCAGCGCTGCAAGAAGCTAATTAGGAACATCATACTAGACGGCGATAAGGTCCAAAGTGTCAATATGTACCTTGGCTTTGGTGATCTTGCGTTGCGGATGGTCGCGCAAGAGCTGCGCCACGTCATCATGTCGGTACTTGATTGCCACATCGAGCGCGGTTTCCTTGTACTACGTCCATCATGCCATCGTCGTCGTATCGTCAGGCGGCAAATGAGAGTATATACGTACGATGTTTCTGGCCCCGGGATCGGCGTCGGCATCCAGTAGGAGGCGCGCGACCTCAAGTCGGTTGTGCTTTGCAGATTCTAGCAGCGGCGTGTAGAGGCCATCCTGCCCATACTGATGCAAGACTTGATACGGTGGCGTCGACGTACATTGCAGTGCCCTTCGGTCGAAGCGCCCTTTGTGAGCAAGTAGCAGACAACTTTGGCTTGGCCAAACCAAGCCGCGACGCCCAAGGGTGCCTACGATGAATGGCATGCTGCAATGCATCGATGCCCACAAGAACAGGAACGTACGCCGTCCTTGCCGTTGGGATTGACGCCTTCCTTCTCCACGAGCCGCTTCACGTCGCCCAGTCGACCTTCTTCTGCAGCTGTGTAGAGCTCCTCCTATGTGATCGCAGACGCAGTCGCTTGCATTCGGGCAGCGTCCTCCGCTACCTCCTTTGACTTTGTCATGGTTTGGCGAGTTGCACAATGATGCGGTTGAAAACGCCCTCCAATCACACCCTGCGATTTCAGCGTGGAGAAGTTTAATTGGCCAAAAGCAGCGTCGCAACAATCCCTGTGCAAATCAAAGTTGGCGACTGAGGCGACCCACTAAGCTTGGCGGAAGGTCGTTTAGCTCTTCCGCACGACGTTGACGCCCCTACCCGCTGCTGCGCTCGCGATCAAAGCAGCTACTATCACACGATTGCATCTCCAGCACTAGGCTCGTCGCGCCGTGGTGCCTTCGCTTACCCAGGCGCTTATCGCTCTACGCGCTGACCCTTGGTGCGCTCGCTATCTCACTCTATCCCGAGCCCCGACAACGCGCCCGACTATAGTCATACACGTGCATGCGGCTTGGACGGTGCTATCCTACCACGGTGCGTCGACCATCTAGCGACGATCGCTTTGCGAAGAGCTCGTGAATACTCTAGCGTGCTCAAGCTCTAGCCAATTGCAAATACTGGTATGTACATGCATGCGAGGAGGCGGCGAATGGTGACTCACACTAGCGCGCCGCGGTGGCCGTTGCATGCCCCGAGGACAGCCGCAAGCACCGTCGATGATCAGACGCTGTGGCTACTATTCATTCACCATCATCCTATATCGCGCCATCTCCATTCCTCTCCACGCGTGGCCGCCACATGCAACGTGCAAGCTCGCGAGACCAATTCCTTCGGGAGGGTTCGGTCATTGGTAATCGGGCTCCTCGCCGTCGTAGCGTGCATGGCCTTGGGCATACTTGACCTCCATCGACGCAGCTCGACCTCGCGCATGGGCCATGACCCTACATGCACCTCGCCTGCCCCTCGTCTGGCTGACCAGTGACCACGACCGCAGCAGCAACGTCGACACCGCTGCCACGCACGTGCCTCAACACATCCCAATCTGATCTTTTTAAATTCTGGCCGGTTCTCTTGAAGTTTGTATACCGCATGGAATGTGCCCAGGGATTGTCCCGTGCAGGGCGAAGTTCGAAGCTGACAGCCTGTGGTCATCGGAAACCACGGAAATAGTGTAGAAATCGAGCACGGCGCCTGGCGTGGTTGCACCAGCTGATACGCAAACACCTGGAATAATGTATGCATCCAAAGGTCAAAAGTACACGATTTCAAGGAAATAAAGTAAATAGTGTCACTTGATTACAAATCGCTGGCGTGGCCTGATATTTGTATGCGAGACCGAAGTTCGCACTTGAAGCTAGGATCCCAAGGGCGTCGGCCGCTCACTTTTGGAATCACTCTCCGATGAAGACTGCCGCTGCCTCGATCGCCCGCCGCTTCAGCCACGCCGCCTCGCCGCGGGTACGACGACCTCATGCAAAGCTACGACGTGAGGTTGACATGGGTATGTAGGACGTTGTCATTGTCAGCTACGCGCGTACGCCGATCGCTACGTTCAACGGCGCGCTCTCGAGCTTGACCGGCCCGGAGCTCGGTGCGATTGCCAACAAGGCTGCGATCGAGCGCGCTGGCATCAGCGTCAACGACATCCAGGAAGCGTACCTCGGCAACGTCGTGAGCGCTGGCATTGGCCAGGCGCCGGCGCGCCAGTCGGTCCTCAAGGCCGGTACACCATCCTCATCCACGACGACGACCACAAGCTGACCCTTTCCATGCGTAGGTATCCCCGACACGGTCCCGTGCACGACGGTCAACAAGGTCTGCGCGTCCGGCATGAAGGCCATCGCGATGGCGTCGCAGGCCATCATGGCCGGCAGCCAAGACATCATGCTCGCCGGTGGTTTCGAGAGCATGAGCAACATCCCGTACTACTTGCCCAAGGCGCGGTCGGGCTACCGCCTCGGCGACGGCAAGCTCGTCGATGGTGTCATCCACGACGGTCTCTGGGACCCGTACAACAACCAACACATGGTACGCACATCGATCCTCCTACTTGTCGTCCCATCCTCATCCGACGTCCATCCAGGGTATGTGCGGCGAAAAGTGTGCGACGGACTTTGGCTTCTCGCGCGAAGACCAAGACAACTTTGCGATCTCTTCGTACACGCGTGCGGCGGCCGCGGCCAAGGTACGACGACCCTCCGATTCCAAAGATCTCATGGTCTCTGGCTCGTTTCCAGGCCGGCAAGTTTGAAGCCGAGATCGTCCCGGTCTCGATCAAGCAAAAGAAGGGCGACCCGAAGGTTGTCTCGGCTGACGACGAGATCTACAACGTCAAGCTCGACAAGCTCCCGACGCTCCGCCCGGCCTTCAAGAAGGACGGCACGGTCACGGCTGCGAACGCGTCGCCGCTCAACGACGGCGCCGCCGCCCTTGTCGTCATGTCGCGCGAGCGTGCGGACGCCCTTGGCCTCAAGCCCCTGGCGCGCATCCGTGGGTTCGGCGACGCCGCCCACAACCCCGTGGACTTTACGACCGCGCCGTCCAAGGCGGTCCCGATCGCGGCCAAGCACGCTGGCCTCCAGCTCTCGGACATCGAGTACCACGAAATCAACGAAGCGTTCTCGGTCGTGGCGCTTGCCAACATGGAGCTCATGAAGCTCGACCACAGCCGCGTCAACGTCAACGGCGGCGCGGTTGCGCTTGGCCACCCGATCGGCATGTCGGGCGCGCGCATCGTCGGTACGCTCATCCATATTCTGGAGCAGAACGACGCGACGATCGGTGCGGCGTCGATCTGCAACGGCGGTGGCGGCGCCGGCGCGCTCATCATCGAGCGGTTGTAATTGCAAAAAGAGATGTGACGTACCCCTGCGCTTTGTCATTGTCATCAACCGACGTCGTCGCATGTATTCTACAGGGGACAGGCTAGACTACGACCAACATGGCAAGCACGACGGCAAAACGGTGGCGACGACGGTGTTGTCGGTGTTGGTGTCGGGGTCGTCGGTGTTGGCGTTGTTGTTGGCGTCGTTGTCGTTGTCGGTGTCGGTGTCGGTGGTTCAGGGCAGAATTTGGCCATGTACGCTGCGGTGGCGCCCACCACGCCCAAGGACGCGACCTCTGCTTGGGCTGTCGATAGCATATCAAAGAAAGGCGCGAGTTCACCGCGCTGGTACGTCGGTAGCGTCGTGAGGTTGCACTGCGGCACCTCGGTGGTGAGCATCGTAGCGTGAAACTCGGGGCACGTCGTCGCACACCATGCCAGTGGCATGTCGGTACGCAAGAACGCCGAACAGTTGCTCCACAGCGACATGTTGAGCGCGGACGCGCATCGGGTCCAGACAGGATGGGCGGCCAAATTCCGGAGCGTCTCGATGTCGGCGGTCGTGCAGACCCCCGGCCTCTGCGCGCGTGCAGTTGTACGTCTCGAGGAGTGTGTTTCGCGGGTCCAAACCCGACTGGCTGCAGTTGGGCAAACGGGCGTGGACAGCCGTCATGTTGTCGCGACACGCCGGCGACCCGCAGTACCATTGCAGCCCCTCAAGTCCCGCGACAAGCCGGTCACGGTGCTGCCCGAGCAGTTGGGCCACAGCTCTGCGTCCATGGTTGCACCGCATCGGTGCTCGTGCAGGCGCCACCGTCCATGGTCGGATGCGTCACGTCGTAGCAGAACGACCGAAACGACGTGAGATTCGCGACGGCTGCGCTCACCTCGTCGCAGGACGGGACGCTCCGTGTGTAGTTGGCGAGATCCTCGCTGCACGCGGGTTGACACAGCGTAAAGTGGCTGCCTTCCTCGGCCAGGACGCTGGAAAAGGTCGCACTGTACGGCGTCCGAAGCGCGGGCGCGCACGAGTCGGAGAGGGTCGCGGCGATGGCTTGCGCGTACGAGCCATTTTGCGCCGCCGAGCACGGCGCCGACGTCCCCATGTGCGTCGTCAGCAGCAGCAGTGCCAACCCAAGAACACGAGACATTGCACGCACAAGGTGGTCGTTGTGCTAGTGTCGACCCACGCGGAGACTGTGCACTGGAAAGATAGGGAAACGCCGAGCTGTTGCCGTTGGATCCAAAATGGCATCTCTGAGACGGGGCAATGAGGACAAGTTGTCGTGCCGCCTGTACGCAAACCGCTGGTTCGTCGAGTGTTCTAGGGCGCCGACGGTGGTCACGGCTCCGGAGGGATATACCGCGAGGGGAGCAGCCACGCCAGTACTGGACTACGTGATGAATGCTATTATGGTTGGTGATGCCACCGTGCCGTGGCGTAGGTCCCTTGTCTCGTCACTGTGTCCTTCCCACACACTCCCAAGCACCACACAATCCAAGATGTAGCGTGTCATCGATGGCTATCAAACCTGTAGTAGTACATTAACAAGGCCGTGGGCTGGGTGGCCGGCGCCGCAGCGACGAGAAACCTGCTCTGCCCCGCGACACCGGCGTCAACAGCGAGCTTGACACCAACGCCGACACCAAGTCCCCGACACGGACAACCGCGATGAGCACCGTATTCTTGGTGTCGCTGCGTAGTTGCATGTAGTTTTGCCAATAGCCATGCTATACATATATTCGAGTACGGCAAGCATCTGCCGAGCGTAGCGCACCGTTCGGTTGCAGGGCGAGTGAGAGCGCTTCACTCGCATGCCTCCATACACTAGTACTACTGCGTATTTTGCGAAAAGCCAAACCGCTTCTTGGTCCTCCTGGTCTGCCAACAGCGCCGAGTCGGAGCGACCTCTCGTCCGCCTTGTCATCTCGGTCGTCCGCGCTTGCGCCGACGCCATGGTATCACATCATGGAGCATCGTTCCACCAGATCAAACTCTCAAAAGGCGAAAATTACGACTCTATTCGTCTACTCCAGCAAACACGACACAGGACGCGACAATGACGCACTCGGACATCTACACAGCGAGGAGGCGCGTCTACAGGTCGAGCCGGAAAATCGGCTCGTCGTCGTCGTCCGTGCGAAACCTTTGCTTGGCCTGCGGCGAAAACACGTAGCCGGCGTAGTTCTGGTCGTTCGGGTCGTGCGAGTCGACGCGGGACCGCGACTGTAGGTAGTAGGCTTGGACGAGCATTTGGCCTTCGCGCGCCTCGAACGAAAGCTGCGGCGAGACCGCGTCGATGAGAAAGTCGATGGCCGGCGCGAGCGTCCGCGGCGACGACGGCGCGCCCATCGGGATCGTCATCGGCGGCGACTGGGGCCACGTGAGCTGCTCCATGTTGGTGGCGTCCGGTCGGTCGAGGAACTTCATCATGGCACGTCAAGTTGGAGAATGGAAAACTGAGTTTGCCGTCGCGCGGAGCGGTAATAATATACATCGCGATCTTGCTTTTTGTATGGAGAATAAAACATTGGTATTGAATACCGCCGCCGGGTTCAGATTCGTCGGAAAAGATTCGAAGCTCGGCCCGTGCACTGTGAAAATACATATTCTCTGTCCTTTTATATATCGACTCCGGAGGCGTTGCTCAAGCTTGCTGAGGCGCGTCGCGAATAGCAGCTCGCTTGTATGGTATCGCGGCAAGCCCACGCGTCAGCTGCGACGGGCTTTCAACGGTTCCGGCGCCTGATTGGTGCATATTTTCACACACTCAAGAATCTTTGGGATGTGGACCGACCATGATCCCAAGGTGACTGACTGGCCATCAAGCTCGCGACCGTTGCCACTCTTGCCGCCAGAGATGGGCAGCAGCGCTTCGTGTTTGCGCATCGGTGGTATCTTGCGGTGTCGCACGAACGCGGCTCCGACAAGCCCAAGTGCAACGTCGATCGAATCGACCGTCGACCATCTTAACGCCTTGGTGCAGGGATGGGATGCCACATCTTTGCACGGAATCTGCAAGTCGTGGCTTGCAGCGTAATGGGCGCTTGAATACCGAGAGATTCTCGCAGGTTCCTCACAACTTGAATGCACCGACCGCCATCGAAATCTTTGAAATCTTGACAAATGAAAGCCTGTGAAAATGAATATATTTTCCAGTCGCGTCCACGCGCCCAGCGTTGGGAAGCGACCAATCCCGAGCGTCGAATCTCGCATTTTGCGTTTTGGCCAATCAGAAAGTGGTTGAAGTTGAACGTGGCAGACCGTTGTGCCACACTTGGTGTTTGTATCCGCCAACTTCAAGCGCCGCGCGTCGAATCAGATGCCGCGTCTCAGTCGACGCCGGTTGCAGAACTTGCCACGTGGAAGGAGCCGACGGCGGGCGTCGTCGGCGCGGTCTTTGCACGATAGCCAGGACCCGTATCACTCCTCGTTGCTACTACAGCTACTAGCGCGACTCAAATCCGAAACGTTGGCGGCGTCCACCGGCGGAGATGCTGCGTCTGTCCTACTCTGGAGCGAGCCGGAGCGCTACACGTCTCGCCCTGCCTTCTCGAATGTGCATGAGCCCATGCTGTACGGCTGCGCACAAACCAAGCAACCTCGTTCGAAAGCTACTCAAACGGCAGTTCGACCACTGAACCGATGGCAGATTATCAGCGGCAGCTACTCCTCTTGTGTACTAGTAGCCGTACTTGTCGTTGAGCGCCGTGCGGCCGTCGCCGGTTTGGTTGGCAGGCGGCTGCCACACGCTCTCACCGCCTTCAAGGACGCCGTCGTCAAACACTTTGGCTGCCTTGGCCGCATTCGGTCGTTGGCGCTTGGGCTTGGCCTTGGGCTCGGTCGACGGGACTGGGCGCTTCTTCTGGCTTGCCCCTTCTGGCTCGAGCGAGCGTACCGTACGCACGGGCTCTTCCGGTGGCGTCAGCGTGCGCTCGCTCATCTCCCGTAGATGAAATGCAGGGTCGCCATGCGTCTCGATGGGCACAGGCGCGTTGATGGGCGGCGTGGATGGCCGTGCCGGCAGCTGCGGGTCGGCTGCCGGTTCTGTCACGGCGACCGGCGCCGCTACCTGCTCGGCTACCGCAGGAGCTACTGGGGCAGCTACGGATGTGGACTCGGCGTCCGGTGCAAATGCCACGACTGGTGGTGGCTTCTCGACAACCTTGTCGAGCGCGGGTGTCGCAATCGCTAGCAACTTTTCTTGCTCTTCAATGAGCGCCTGAAGTCGCGTTGTCTCGGCTTGCAGCTTGGTGCGCTGGTCGGCGACGAGCGCTGCATTAGACGCTTGCAGATACGCATCCAGACTGTCGTCGGCGTCGGTGCTCGTCGTCCTACACACTCGCATGTACCTTCATGCCACATGGGATCGCGTCGTACGTGGCAGCCGCTGCTTCGTTCTTTAGATACTGCGCTTGGATCGTCTCGAGCTGGTGCGTGAGCGCGCGCACGTTGGCGCGAATCGAGTCGGCGGTCAAGACGCGCGGCGCGGCCGAGAGCGGAACGTGCTTTTTGGTGGCGTGGGCTTTGGTACGGTCGTAGAAATCGTCGTCGTCGTCGTCGTTGTACATTGTCGATGCCTTGGCTTTGGTCGCGGCTTTGGTCGCGCCTAGTCGTAATAGGAGATTGTAGAATCGACTAACGAATAAGGATACGTACTGGCTTCCTTTTTCGCCTCGAGCTGCGCCTTTTGCGACAGCCGCTGCGTCTGCTTGGCCTGCAGCGTCGCTTCGATGGTTTGAATGTCTTCTTGCAGCTGCGCAATCCGGGCTTCGTTCTTGTCTAGAGGACATTGTATCAACTGCGAGGAGAAGAGTATCAAGGTACCGAGCGCGGCTTGCTGGCCGTCGGTCAACCCCATGCCTTGCTTGGCTCGAATTCGCTCGGATTCGGTGCGGAGGTTCTCCATCTTTTGCATGCGAGCCTGAAGACGGGTGTACAGCGCCGTGTCTTTGGCCGAGATCGATTCTTTTGTGACGCTCGAGACATACGGACCCGAGACGTCCTTGCGCTAAAGTATCAAGGTGTCAACCGTTGCCAAACGCCATTCGCGATATATGCACGCATACATCGCGCAAGTAGTCGGGCAAACTCTCTTGCCGCGCGGTTTTGGCCGTGGGTTGCCGGCGCGTGTCGCCGGCTTCGTCGTCGCTGCTGTCGTCGTGGTCAGCGTCGTCGTCCTCTTCTTCCGCGTCTTCGCCAAAGCCCCACGAGATGCCATCGTCGCAAGCACTTGGCTGCTTTGGCGGTCGCTTCTTCTCAGTCAGCTATGTTCGTTTGAGTCCGAGCACCAAGCCGTCGAGGAGACGAGGACGCACCGATGCGCGGAGCTTCTCCAAGTTGGTCGAGCTACAGCATCAAGCATGTGGTCAGCCGAGGATGACGCTGCAGCATCGTCGGTACTTGTATTCGCCGGGCATGAGCTCGGGCGGGCCAAGGATCGTGTAGATGCGCGTCGACTCGCCAAAGACGACCACGTCGCCGACGTACAGCTGCGTGTACTCGCTGGGCGGGAGGCGCTGCTTGTTGACATGCGTGCCATGGGTGCTCTTGAGATCGACGACAAAGAGCGTGCCTACGCGCCGCCATGAGCAATGGCTACGTGCGGCAATGGGACCGCACCGTCGGCGTTAAACTGCAGCGCGGCGTGGGTGCGCGAGACAGACGGATGCTGCAGCACGAGGTCGCAGAGCGGCTCCATGCGGCCTAGAGCACGATGAGCCTTGTTCGCCGTCATGAGGCCGACGCACCGACAACGAAGAAGGGCTTGGCGTCCAGCGCGACCGTGTCCAAGATGACGCCGCTCTTGATGACCTCGAGCGAGAGGCCATGGACGTTCTGCCCGCCGTCGGCCCACTCGGGTGGCACGTACGCTGTCATCTTGTCGACTTTTGGCCAATTGCACGTGCTTGTCGCTTTAGCGCACGTGGATTGGCTGTATTTACCAGGTTTTTAGCCAATGCAAAATTCATAGGAACCGCACGCACCGATTGGGCTTTTCGAGCGTGCCAGTGTTTGATTGGCCAAAAGTGGGATACGCGATGTCGCTCCTGAAGCTACAGCAACGACAGAGATCTACCGGTATCACGACAGGTCCATATTGGGTCGCAATGACACTATCAAGGTAATAGTATTATACTAACGTTAGCGTTTTGTTAGGCTGGCTATTGCTATCAGAGTCCTCAGTGTCTTTACACAAAGTGGCGGGCCAAGTCTGCTTAAGTGAGCGATCCATCCAAACCCAACTACATGTAGACAGTTTGCCCCAAAAGAGATAGTGCTGAAACACAGCCCTTTGCGGTGCTGACAATAGACACAGTTAGGAGCTATTGATGCGTCGCGACAACTACACGAGGACTCTTAAAGAAGTGAAGGTGTGCCTACGCTCGCTGGATCGACTCGTAGTTCGTGTATGTGTCTAGCACCTAGTGCTTAGTGCCGCACGAAATAGATTAGTGATTTCAATTCGAGCTACGGGCATCCTGTGTCCAACTCGGCCACTTTGCTCAACCTATCGACTCGCCGGCTAAAGAAGCGTGTTTCTAGCCACCTTTCAAACTCGATATGAACAGTATCATGTTGTAGAGGGGTTTGCGTCTGTGCCAGTCAAGGAAGCAGCCGCAACATGAGCAGCAAGGAAGAGATGGACGACGAGATCCGCGAGCAGGACCGCTTCCTGCCGACGGCCAACATCTCCCGCATCATGAAGGTCTCGCTGCCCAACACCGCCAAGATTGCCAAGGACGGCAAGGAGACGGTCCAGGAGTGCGTCTCGGAGTTCATCTCGTTCATCACGTCCGAGGCGAGCGACAAGTGCCAGCAGGAGAAGCGCAAGACGATCAACGGCGACGACATCATCTGGGCCATGAGCACGCTGGGCTTTGACGCGTACGTCGAGCCGCTCAAGCTCTACTTGCAAAAGTACCGCGAAAGCGTCAAGGTCGAAAAGTCGGACAAGAAGGACAACGTCGGGTCGTTCGGCGCCTCGTCGTAGGGTGTACCTCGCTTAATCTATTGCCGTGCTTGTCACCGACATGCTTGGTGGATCCCCGCCGATGATCATACAGCTAGCTGCATGAAGCTTTGCCCGCGCGAGTGAGCAAGCGTGGATGCATCATTGCATTCGTTCGTCGACCAGGCAGCCTGGCACCGCCGACTCAACCCCTAGCATTGGATCATTGGTGCGACAGCATGAGGACGCAGAGACGACGCATGTAGCGCGAGGCGACGCTGTGCTATTCCCTCGCAGCGACGTATCAAAGCCGAGCGGCTTGCGTCGCCACATGGTGCGTTGCCTGCGCCACGCCACGTAGCGAGAAGGCGAGAGCCATGGTCGCTTGAGCGTGCGTGGCCTTGCGCATCTACCATTATCGTCAAGGTGGAGCGTGCCAAGTTCGTCCGTCGCACGATGATGCTTGCTACGTCGTCGGGTTGTCGGGTGGCAGTTCGCTGCGGCGCGCCGTCGCGCCATGTTGCATGGCCTCGCTGCATGACATAGACGCACAAAATACATTAGTCGGTTCCATCTACCTACGACGAGGCGCCGAACGACCCGACGTTGTCCTTCTTGTCCGACTTTTCGACCTTGACGCTCTCGCGGTACTTTTGCAAGTAGAGCTTGAGCGGCTCGACGTACGCGTCAAAGCCCAGCGTGCTCATGGCCCAGATGATGTCGTCGCCGTTGATCGTCTTGCGCTTCTCCTGCTGGCACTTGTCGCTCGCCTCGGACGTGATGAACGAGATGAACTCCGAGACGCACTCCTGGACCGTCTCCTTGCCGTCCTTGGCAATCTTGGCGGTGTTGGGCAGCGAGACCTTCATGATGCGGGAGATGTTGGCCGTCGGCAGGAAGCGGTCCTGCTCGCGGATCTCGTCGTCCATCTCTTCCTTGCTGCTCATGGTCGTCGAAGGCGTGTGCTGGACTGCCATACAAATGCCAGGCCAGTTTAAAACCTCTATTTTTGAATACTCTTCGGGATTACAAAAGAAAGGTTCCGGATACCATACCAAGCGAAGTTCGAATTTGAACTGCGTATCCGGCTCCGCGCCAAAACGCAAAACGCAAAACTCAAAATCGCACGCCAAAATGCCAAAAACCCAGCCATCTCTTGCAGCGACAATCGCAATGTAAAATCGAGGGACACAGCTAGAGTATAGTAGATGATACTAGCAGCAGCCAGCATTTTCGGCCAACTACACTTTAGCAGAGGTGCTTGAAGAGAACATTCTTTCCCAAGAACACCACACTAAGATCTTAAGTGTCAAAAAACGGAGATGGTGGTCGTGGACATGACGTGTCAAGGACGTGGTCCACTGGCCAAATGATCACGAAGAGGGACTACACGATGAGCAAAGCTAATCTATGCGACTAGTACGGGCAGCCGCACGCATTTATTGGCGCTCGCCGACAGGCGCTGGCGAAAATATTCGAGACCAAGTTCCCTCGCGTCCGCCTGCGCAATTCGGTGTGTTGATGGTGTCGGTGTAGTATTGTTTATCTGGAGCTCCAGAGTATCGTATCATGCTCAGACAAGGTGGGGACTGAGCGAACAGCGGGCCTTTCGCGCCAAAATTTGCCGCGGATTTCGAGACTGCTGTTGCACGACAACTTGTCCATGGACATGCGAGAACGCAAAAATGAACTTTTTACTGCAAATACAATCGGCATCGATAGTACTAGTACAGTATACGACCTCGATCATGGATTTTGAGGTTTCACCAAGCTAAAATACAGGACAGGTTTCCGCCGAGAGGAAAGATCCATGCAGCCCAAGCACATTCGTTTTGGTAAGCGATTTGACTGGACGCTTGGCTGCTCAGATAGGCCGCCTTCAACTGCAAGTACGCGATTGAGAAGCGCGAAATTCAGCCCGCGCGATCCAGTCAAAGATGCGCGATCGCAAGGGATTTTCCCCCATAACCTCGCTTGTGAGGGCGGACTCGCCAAATATTGGAAATGTTGGTGAGGTTAGATGCACGTGGGACTCGTTTAGGAAGGGCGACTGCCCATTACCGCTTGATTTTGAAGAAAAAGATGCATAGGATACACTAAATGTGTGCGCTAGACAGGCGCACCAACTTGAATGCTGCGTTTCGTGTAGTACTACAGGCGATTCCCGTAAGGTCCACACATAGCGTCGCGTTGCAAGCGGGTCTCGACCCAAGTTCTTTCCCGTTGGTATTGATGAAGCACGCCAGCGCCGAGGTAGCTCCAGTTCTCGTCGCCAGCTGCGTGCTGCGAGCAGATCCAAATCAGATCCAAACACATTGCCAGATCCTGTATCCAAAGAGCCTCGGTTTGTATACCCTACGAAAACCAAGTATAAAAATCCAGCCAATCCCAAGGCGCCAAGATCGTCAGCGTCATAAAATGGCTTTTCCCATACAAACTCCAAGGTGCAAGGGCCAGCCAAAATATACCCCGCCAAGCGCGACGGCCGCGCGGGGTTATCAGATGCCGACGCCGTGACATGGTCCTGCGTCAAGTCCCACGCGTTTCGACGATGCAAGTGAGATTGCACTTTCGAATTTGCTCGTCGTCCAGCACCACATCACCAAAACTACAGCATGCAGCTCTCGCTTGGTCTGCTTGTCGCGGTCGCCGCGACCCTCGCCCACGCCGATAATGCGTGCGAGAAGGCGTGCACCAAGGATATGAAGCCGGTCTGCGGCTCGGACGGCGTCACGTACAACAACGAGTGCCTCCTCCAGAACGCGCAGTGCACGAACGCGACGATGATCGCAGTCCCGTGCGGCAACAAGGTCTGCGCGATGCTCTGCGACAAGATGTACGCGCCGGTGTGCGGCAGCGACAACAACACGTACAACACCGAGTGCGAGCTCAAGAACAAGGCGTGCAACAACCCGGCGCTGACAGTCGCCAAGAAGGGCGAGTGCGACCTCTGCCCCAAGGTCTGCAACGACGTGCTCAACGAAGTGTGCGGCTCGGACGGCAAGACGTACAACAACAACTGCGAACTCCTCAAGGCTGCGTGCGCCAAGCCGTCCGAGAAGCTCACGGTTGCGTCGACGGGCGCGTGCGGTGCCACGAGCGCGCCGACCACGGGCTCGACCCCGACCAAGGCGCCAACGACTGCACCGACGACCGCCCCCACCAAGGCGCCGACGCCTGCCCCGACTGCGCCGTCGTCGGCGTCCATGGCGTCCATCTCGGCAATCGCGCTTGCTACGGTGGCCGTCCTCGCCAACTACATGGCCTAAGGGTTTAGGGCTACGGCGTCGTAGCAACCACTGCCCAATGAAGCAATACATGTCGTCCTTGCGTCCATTTTTGATCGACGTTGTGTTGTCTATTGTTCGCACCACGGATATCAATTGAACAGCGGGTATAGTCCATCTACGTCCGACCGCCGACACCCCGCAAGAAGAAAGTGCAAGCTATAAGAACTAGGATGATCCAAACCTTCAAGACGTGGCCCGCTGATAGTGAGAGGGTGCGTCGATTCGATATGTTCTCAAGAGCACCTTTGGCGATGCTACACGAGGTCTATACATAAGTTAATCTAGTTTTCGTCCCCATCGGACGTTGCGATAAATGCAAGATGCCATCTATTGCTATGGCAGCTTCTTGGTGGGCGGCTTGCGCGCATACCCGGCAGGGGGTGCTTCACTCGACGCTTTTCGCGGACTCCCATCCTCTTTGAGAGCAAAGTGCTGCTGCTGCGCAAGCTCGCGCTGGTGGAGCTGGACCCACACCTACGCAAGATGTCCTGCATTGAAACTCAAACTCAAAATCATACCGCGTGCTCGCGGACTTTGGCCTGAAACAACTGCGTCTCTTCGACGATTTGTGCACGTTCTTTCGTCTTCTCGGGCAAGTTGGCGCCTGGGGTTTTCGCCCGCAGCGGCTCTTCGAGCGCCACGACCGCGGGTTTCTCAAGGATCGGGGTGTGGAGCGATTGCATGGTCTTGGCGGTCACGACGTGCGGCTCGGCCTCGATCGCCGTCATCGACTCGCGCAGCGACATCTGATCGTCGTTGGACAATACGACTTGGTCGGTGGCTGCAAAGAGGTAGCGCAGCTTGAACTCGACAACGATCGGCGTCGTTGCGCGCGTGTGCTCGACCCAGAACGAGTAAATGAGGTTGCCTACGCCATATCATATCATTTAGGACAGGGATCCCAGCACGATTATAGTACCTGGGAACGGTGTACCATGGAGCTTGGCGGGTCCGCCACCAAGAAAAAAAAACGAGTCGCTGTCGTAGAGCACGGCTTGGGGCACGGTCGTTGTCCCCGAGAGGTCGGTCACGCGCAAGAGGAGGCGACCGGGACCCGTGGCCGACTCCAACACGAGCTGTTCGTGGGCGCGGAGTACAAACACGATGGGCGGTTGGTGCGGCAGCAGCGTACTTTGCAGCGCCTTCGCAAAGCACACGACTGAGTTGGGTGGCGCTGGAAACATCTCGGCGCCAACGTCAAAGTAGTTGGCTTCGGCTTCCATGAGATCGCGGGCAATGTGCCCGGGCAAGTGAAATTGATCCGTCTTGTACCACTCGAGGAGGATGCTAAAGAGTGACGGGTTGCGGTCGAGAAATATCGTGTTCGCGCTCGTGCTACTACAGCCACAGAGCGCAATGCGGTGCAGCCGCGCATGCGGGACCTTTTCGAGCACGTGCAGTTTGCACGGAAAGAGAATGCCGCCCACATCAAACGTGATCACGTCCGACGCGTCGCCTTCGTCATGGGGGGATGGCGCCTGTGGTCGTGGGGGGCGGGGGGGCCGTGGCCGCTTTGGTGGTGATACACTGGCGTCACTCGGAGGCTTGCTCGAGCGCAAGCTCTCGTCCCCGTCACAAAATGTATTCGTCTCGACGATGTCGGTGTCCATGCGGGAAAGGCCGGCGACACGGAGTATCGACTTGACGTTTGCGTTGTCAGACTCAACGCCCGAGCTAAATTAAGCCAACGCAAATAAGTGTAAAATCGTCTTGGGGCGAAAAGAGTGCTGAGGGCAATGGCCCGCGTGTCGCCGACGACCGACGAGTTGAGAAGCCCGCTAAGCAGTTGCGGCCAAAACTCGACCAAAAAGCGGGCACCCAAGGCACACCTTAGCCTCGACACGAGCGACGAGCGCGACGACGACCCGCTCACGGCCGCTGTGCTTGCTGCGCTCGATGCTAGTATTCTCTACGACAATGAAGGGTATTATCGACATGTAAACGCAGCAATTCCCATGACACTCTGTTCTAGAGTCGCTCTGGAGGCGTTCCGGGCGCGCCTCGGGTCGTCCGAGGTCCGTGCCGACTTCAAAATCAAAATGCTACTCGACATGCTGGCGACTGTGCGAGCGACGCACCTCTCCAAGGTAATCAACCTCAACGACGCCGAGTGTCTTGACGCCTGTGTAGGAGTCGCTCGAGATTGCATGGCACCGCATCGTCGACGAAGAGCGGCGTGATCTTTTAGAGCTCACGACGTCGACGCCGCCGACGTCCGCGCGCGACTCGGTCGCGTCCGTGCCGAGACCGAGTACGTCGGGCGCGCCATCGAAATTGTCGCAGGCCAAGTCCAAGCGCAAGCAGGCCGAGTACGACGCCAAGCTACTCGCGAACCGCCTCGCACTTCTCAAGCAAGAGGAGCAGAAAGCGTGGCGCAAGATCGAGCAAACGCGCGAAAAAGCGCAGCAGATTCTCGAACACCGCGAAGAAGTTGTCAAGAAGCAGCAAGACCGGCATTTGTTTTTGCATGCACGCGAGGTCGAGACGCGGACTGCGACCAAGAAGCACAAGCTCGCGGCCAAGGTCCGATTCTCAATTTGTGTGTGAGAATGAACACAATATTGTCATGTATACTAGACCTCGGTCATCAAGAAACGGCAAGCCGCGATTAGCATAATCTCGCGCAAGTACCAAGAAGTCGACACGGTCAAGCAGGAGCGGCGTCGGCTCAAGATTGAAAAAGAGCGCCAAGCGCAAGCCGAGGTCGAGCGCGCGCGGGAAAAGAGAGAGCTTGTGCGGCACCAGGAAGAAGAGGTATAGATAGACACGCGATGTAGAGTGGACTAAGCCATGTCCATCTCGTAGCTGCGGAAGAAGCGCCTGAAAGAACGTGTGGTCGCCGAGAAGCAAGCGGTCGCGCGGTGCGCTTTTCTACCATCTTGATGCATGCAAATGACGAGGAAGCTCATGGATGCGGATGTGTAGCTACCGGCAGAGCGTCGAGGAAGAGGAAGTCATGCTCCGCGAACAGCGCAAGCGGGTCGCGGCCATGGAGCGTGCGGAGCTCGAGCTCATTCAGCGCCTTCAGAGCACCCAGCTCCTCCAGCGCCAAGCGTACAACGAGCTCGAGAAGGCACTTATTCGCACGGAAATGTGATGACCACTAGACAATATAGGACCCTTAATATACTAAACTATCGCAATCGCAAACGCTACGGAGTTCGATGGGCGGCGCCAAATCTCGGCCCACTTCAACTTCCGGATAAAGCATACGGATACGAGCACCAACCACGCGGGCCACACCATGTTTGCAATGGCCCACCCCCGATGTGAGGGAATCGGTTCTTGGTCGCCCTTTCTAGACGCCACCGGAACGCCGCTGCGTCGTCTCGCACCTCGAACGTCTCGACAAACGCGTTTTCATACCGGTATATCGGTGCATCGGCGCAGGGCTACGGCAACGGGATGTACATTCTTTAAAAACAATATTTTACCTTTTGTTTGGAGAGAACCACCCACAAATCCAAGCCAATCAAATGGTACCCGCCTGTCCTGGCCAGTTTGCACCAGCGTTTTGCAGGAAGACGACGACGACAAGCATGAGCGCTGCGGCCAAGGAAAAGGGTGCTAGTGAGTACCATGCACAGAAGAAGATGATTGAGCGTCTCCTCTCGAGCGCCAATGGTACACTCTGCATGCGACCTCTCTGATCGCTCACCTTATTTCGCGCAGACGGCGACCTTGCCGAGCTCGAAGTGGCCGTCAACAGCATCGTTGCGACGACGGGCCAGTCGCTCTCCAAGGGCGACGTCTTGAGCGACTTCAAAGACGCGCACAAGCGGTCGGCGATCCACTTTGCGGCGCTCAAGGGCCGTCGCAAGGTGCTGGCGTACATCCTCGAGAACTCGCCATCAAGCTTGAACCTTCCGGACGAAGACGGCCGGACGCCGCTCTTGTACGCGATCAAGGCCAACGAGTTTGCGACCGCCAAGAGCCTCCTCGTACGACACCTCGTTTAGTTGAGCAAGGCGATTGTTAAACCATTGCGCTAGGTCGACCACAAGGCGGATGCGAACCTCGCGGCCAACAACGGAACGTCGTGCCTGCACGAGGCCGCGGCCAACGGCTCGGTGCGCGCGATCAAGCTCCTCGCCGAGCATGGTGCGCAGCTGGAAGCGGCGACGCCCAACGGCACGCCGCTGCACATGGCCGTGAGCGAAGACCAGGAGAAGGCGGTCGAAAGCCTCTTGGCGCTGCACGCCAACGTCGACGCGCGCAACCAGCACGGCATCACGCCCTTGCTGCTTGCAACGCTCATGCACAAGCCGGCGGTCGCCGCGCTCTTGCTGCGTGCGGGTGCCGACATGACGGTGCGTTCTATCGATTTGATGGCGTGCCGATGACTAACAAAGTCTACGATAGGTCAACATCATGCCGGGTATCACGGCCGTCCACGTCGCGGCGGAAACGGGCTTTACGGGCATCATCGAAGCCATGCTGACGGAGCGCGCGGTGGACACACAGACGATCGCCAACCAGCGCTCCGAGGCCGGGTACGTTGTTGCTGAATTTTTCGACCATTTTTTGCATCATTTTTCATGATTTTTCATCGCGCAAGTAGCTTGACGCCGCTCGAGCTCGCGGCTGGTATGGGCCATGCCGCCGTGGTGCGGCTCTTGCAGCCGTTCACGGTCGGCTTTGAGTCGCAGGACGTGGACGCGATCCTTGCCAAGGAGCAGGCGCGGGTACTCGGTTTTTCATTTTAAACAGTCGGGCCTGAATGGAGTGCTGCGTAGGTGGCCAACGAAGTGCATACACCGGTCGTGGTGGCGCCGACGACGACCGAGGCCGAGGCGACTGCCGCCAACGACGACGACGACGACGACGTTGTCTTGCCGCCGATGGTGGCCGTCGACGACGCCACGGTCGCCAAGGCCAACGAAATCAAGGACCAAGGCAACGCGCTTTTTGTCAAGAAGCAGTACCCCGAGTCGATCGCTCTCTACACGCAGGCGCTGGCGCTCAACCCGTGCGACGCCTTGCTCTACAGCAACCGGTGCGCGGCGCACTTGGCGGCCGGTGATGCCAAGCAGGCGCTTCGGGACGTGCGCATCTCGCTCAAGCTCAAGCCCAACTGGGCCAAGGCACTCTTCCGCGAAGGCCAGTGCTTGGAGGCGCTCATGCGCTACGAAGACGCGGCCATGTCCATGTGGTCGGCCATGCAGCTGGCGCCCGAAGACAAGCTCATCAAGAAGCGCTTCCAGGCCTGTGTCCAGCGCGGTCGCGAAGAACACCAAGCGTCGTTGAAGAAGTAAAATACATACTAGTATGCCATTCTCGGCGTTTACGATGACATATCGACGAGTACTACATTAATGTAATGGGCGAGAGATGGGAAAGCAGCTTGACGCCAAGTGGGCAACAAGCACTGCCAACCGGGCGCGTCTGCAAGCAATAGAAATTGTAGACAATAGACGCCAGAACGACGACGTGTTCGTCAACGGCGCGGGTTGCCGTGGCAACTGCTCCGGACCTCAACACACCAAGTCGCTTTGCCCGCAGCTCGCGTTGATTCGACGAGGCTTTGAAAGGGTTAGGGTACCTTCTGACACTCGATTCACCTCCTCTAACTAGAGCGCAGCAGGATCGAGGACCGCGTCACATACGTACTCGGACACTTTGTAGTCTTTCATTGCTCTACTAACCTCGAACCCGACTAATACGATGCAAATTGCAGCGAGGGTGAATAAATGCATGTTTACACCTTGGCCCCAGATAACGTCACAGTCACCGCCCGGCCTTTGTCGGGCCGGTTCTAGCTGTGTTGTATCCGAGAGCATAATTCAACAAGAAAATCATCAGAATTATGTACATATCGTCCAATTACACCACACTACTCGACGTCGGTTTTTCGACGAGTGGCATTTGCACGGCGATGGGCGAGAACGTTGGCAGCTCGACGTACGGCACAACGAGAGTTGGCGGCGGCGCAACGGCCTCCTTGGCTTGAACCTTGGCTCGAGAATCGCAGCTTTTCGAGCTCGAATTGCAGAGCTCACAGAACTCACAGAACGTGCACCAAGCACACACACACCAGCTGGTGTCGCAGTTGCAGCAGGCATACGAGTTGGTGCGCTGGTCGCAACCACAGAGATCGCATCCGTTGCAGTCGCAGTCGCACGCGTTGCAGCTGCAGTCGCAGTTGCAGTCGCAGTCGTCTAAACATCAGTCATCTGTCGAGCGTCAAATGCGTTATGCTGCTTCCTGCAACCGGATGCGGCACCTGTATGCCAACAAATTACCATAAAAAAGCCATTTCGCTCACCTATTTATCCAATATGTTTTGATTAACATGGGTTTGGCATGGAATATGCGAATTAATGCCAAAGGGCGTTCTTTTCCGGAGAGGGGTTTTGTGTGCGGTTGTGCAAAGCTTAAACCGTCGCGGGAGGGTTAAAAAGGTGAAGGACTGGAATTCATCCACAGGAATTCACCAACTAATATCAATGTCAAACCACTCCTACGGTCACTGAACCTACTATTATAATACTTATTTATGTATGCTATCTTAGAGGCTCTAGAGCGGAGAGCCACCGAAACCTAGTGCCCCAAGACCAGCAAAGACATCAACTAAGCCAGGGCGGTGTTCTATCGCCAAGCGCGGAACGCGAGGAGGTGGCTTGGGCTTCTTCTTGGGTCCAAGTGGCCAGAGCCCGACCTCGCGCAG